GATGCTACAAGAGAGTCACAAACACAAAACGAAGGAGAGATCAGCACGATAGAAGTTTGGTACGAAAGAAGGAGCAAACCACACCAGAGCACCCGCCAATCACACACTCCCTCCATCTAACGGCAAAAAAAGAATATTTCGATTATGTGTGCGGTAAATGTATCAGGAAGTGCCATTTAAAAATTATCAGAAATGTCACGCATAATCTAGATACAAAAAACTTCAAACTAAGTTTATTTCATATGGCTCAATGCTGGACTGTGCTGTTGACTAACCAAAATACAAATTATGTGAATTTGTAGGTTTTAAGGACACTAAAGCTTTGGTAGTCACCAAACTTTGGCTGGCGGCCATTGTCTCGCTGATTGGTAGCTTTTAAGGACAAGCGGGCTAACCCAGATTTCAGGGGTTTCCAGAAACTTGACCTACACCAAAAGTGAGCATTGCCCTACCTATATGACAAGTTTGGTTTCATTGTTGCGTATATTTATTTGGTTATAGAGAAAACTCTCTTTATCTTTTAAAAAAACTGAACAAGAGTCCAAAAACTTTACCTTCGTTTTTCTCAGAACATCATTTTTCGGGATAGACCCGTCAAGGTCAAAAGCGACCAATTGTACCTCTGACAATAGGCGACCCCCACCTCCTTCAGTCGTAAATATCATGTCGACTTCTATTCAAGATTGGTGGGTAGTTTCTTCATCCAATACAGAATGTTGTTGTTGTTGTTTTCAAATCCCTTTAGCTGCGAGCATTTCGCTCTTGGCAGCGCAATGCCTCCCTCAAGTAACCACATGTCCTTGTCATCTGGTCAACGCCAGAATAGAGCAGGCTTTGTAAGTCTCTAGGTGTGTGTAGGAGCCTGCGTGGAAGAACTGCCAGGTTTGGGAGAGAAGGAGATTTTCAACGGTCTCCTCGTGGTAGTCACAGTGTCTGCAATGGGGTTCCCATATGGGATTAATTCGGTATATGTGCTTGTTGGTGTGTAAGTGTCCTGTGTGGGCTCTGAAGATCATAGTCTGATTGGCTCTACTGAAAAGATTCGAAGGGTCTTTGGGTCCAACACTCCACATGCCCCAAAACTGACGAGCGCTTGATTCCACCACGTCGTGATACATTTTATTTTAAGTTTAAAAAGAAGAACATGAACGCGATAACAGTCATCATACTTATAGTGGTGGTGGCAACGATCAAGACTCTGGCAATCAAAAACCCCAGAGGGACAGAAAAGAAGTAGGACCAACCAGCACCAAAACAAAACTATGTAAATTTGAATAAGACAAATTTTAATGTAGCTTTGAAATACGCTCTCCTGGATATTGATGTACAGTGCAACAACGACCACAAAACAACAACAACAAAACACCACCACCACCACCAACAACAACAACAACAACAACGACAACAACAACAACGACAACAACGACAACAACGACAACAACAACAACAACAACAACAACAACAACAACAACAACAATACCGACGACGAAGACGACGACGACGACGACGAC